ATGGCAGTGAAGATATTTTGGGGGGAGCTGTAAACGAAAGCATAAGCTTCTCTATATATCTTTGTTTCCAAATTCTCTGTTAAAGATGGATTTTTTAAATTGTTGAAAATTTGCAAATGTGGAATTCAGGAAAATTTTTTTCTTCCATGAGTTTACCTGCACTGAAATTCCAGAATCATTTTGTATTTTGTGTACTGGAGTACAAAAGGTTTTTTTGATCTTGACCCAGAACATATATACGTATACATTTATACATAGATACACACATATATGCATATATGAAACAGAAATTGATAAAAATGTTAATCCTTAATATACATGACACAGACCAATATGATTACTCTACTTAATTTAATTATTTATTTATTTTAACATGTACATTGTTGATTTATTTTTTACAATAAATTTTTCTGACATAATAGCTACCTTCAGCAAGATATGATGTAGTGAGGTGTAGTGGCAAAAGTATAGGCTTCTGGTCATTAAATGGATTTGAGTCCTGACTTTATAATTTCGTTATTTTAAATTGAAATATAATTAACATATAATATTATATTAGTTTCAGTTGTATAATATAATGACTCGTTATTGGTATACACTACAAAATGATCACCACAATAAGTCTAGTTACCATCCATCACTATACATAGTCACATACTCTATTTAATTTTAAATAGAATATTCCTGGTCATGACCTACTAAAATGATTTCTTGAATCATTAATGAATCATGACTTACAATTTGAGAAACAATGGTCTAGACAAAAAGAATTAGTCAGAGCCCAGTTGACACTTTTGACCATAATTATATGTATTTGTAGTTAAATTTATATATGTAAATAATGATTAATTGGATTATTTATATAATTTTACAGAGTTTATTCATGTTTGAATTTAACTTTAATATGGCTATCTTTGCAAAGTTTTTGTTTTATGAACATCATCAGACAAAACATTTAGATTCAGAATTTATGAGTACTAGACACCAGGTCCTTGAGTATAAAGATTTGCGTTTCAACATTTCCTCCAAAAATTCAAACCTCTGTAAATATCAGTAAATCATAAAGTATTTACTTTTTTAATCTAGATTGCACAATGGTGAAATATAGTGTTGTGCCCCTTGAGTAATAGTGTTGTTTACAATTTATCATTTGGAGAAGATTATCTGAACTCAAGAATGTTAATGAATTTTTTAGAACTTTTAAATAGGAGCTGGGTTGAGGGTGAAGTTTCAGAACAGTTGGATTTAACTGATGTTTGCTCTTAGAAGTGTTTTGGGTCATTTATTTTTCCTACAATAATTGTCTGGTTCTTGAAATTTTGACAGGGACTTAAGAAGGTAACCTTGGGTCAGGTTGTACTTCAAAATGGTTCTTAAGTACACGAGATTCTAATAATAATTATAGCTTAACATACTTTCTTGGGTTCTTACACATGGTCCGGCATTTTGCCAAACACTTTATGTACCCGCCTTTAATTCTTTCCACAATCTTATTAGGGAAGTATTGTTGTTCCCATTTAGTTTCCTCACATTTGTAATGTGAGGAAACTAAGGCTTATGAAAGGGTTAAGTAACTTTCCCAGGGTGACAAGACCTCTGGTCTGAAAGTTCAAACACTGACTGTTTGCCTCCATAGCAACTTGGGCTTTACAACTCCATTCTACCTACTGAGCATAAAAAAACTCCCATCAACTCTCACCTGTAACCCAGAGAAGGCAAAATATCCAGGATTGGATTGTACTTTTTTTCCATCTACTCACACGGCTGGCTACATAATTTGTGTGGCCCAGTGAAATACGAAACAGAGCCCCTTGTTCAAAAAGCAGGAGGGAAAGTGCTGTCCAAATCACTAAGATATAAAGCTGTCTTCTTTATTCCATCCTCTCTTTCTTGACTTTTCATGGTATTTTAAATTTGCTCTTTAAGATACTGCATAAAGAAAATTAAAAATTTAAAGTATTAGTGTGAGTTTTACTGCTCGTTGTCATATTGTGCAGTTGCAGTTGTCAGTGCAAACACATGGACATTTAGCTCGTGCAGAATCATCATTATCAGATAGTTTGTATTTTGTAGCTTGTATTATGTGTTTCAGTTTTAGTGTGGAAACGATGTGCAGCAAAGTCAGCTGCTGTTATTTCACTTCTTGATCGGTGCACATTCTACCAGTGCCCTTGACCTTCAGCTTAAGGAAGGACTGAAAGGAAAGGAAGTCTGGGCTGCCCTACCTTCCCCTTTTCCTTGCATGTTATCAGTTTCAGCATAAATGGCTGACTAATACAGGAAAGAAATCCGAGGGAGCAGGTACATGATAGGGTTCCTTGGCTGTTGTGTTTTCTTAGAATTGCCTTCTTTCTGGCTTTGAAGCCAGTTGTGTTTCGAGTGGAAAGCATGACTTCCCGGGGCTGTCAGTGCCCTCATGCACTCAGTCACAGGTATAACGCCCTTACCTTCTACTCCTTGAGTCGCACGGAATGCACACTCTGGTGGGTGTGATCATGGGGCATAAAAAAATATATACAAATGGGACAAACACACATTTCAGTTATCTCCTCTGCTCGTATGCATACTCTGCTACCCCACTGGACTTTGCTTATAGAACCCAAGTTCAAAGATAAAATTGTTACGAGTTTTAAGATGGCCACGTCAAGAACCAGATTAAACAAGCATGGGGGCCTTCGGAGACTTGGACACCATTGCAGCTGCTCAGGTTGCACAACCATGAAGCTGGTCCCATCTACACATATCTCCCAGGCTGCCTTTTTGTGGCCTTTCCTTTTTTTTAACTTATCTTTATTGTTGAAAGTATTACGGATACCCCCCTTCTTTCCCCTTTGACCCC